ATCTTTATTTATTTTTGGGAGAGAGAGAGTGTGAGCAGGGGAGGAACAGAGAGAGAGGGAGACTCAGAATCCGAAGCAGGCTCCAGGCTCCGAGCTGTCAGCACAGAGCCCGACGCTGGGCTGGAGCTCACAAACCGCGGGATCATGACCTGAGCCAAAGCTACACGCTTAATCGACTGAGCCCCCCAGGCGCCCCCAGATTGCTTTTAAGTGTTGTGAAAAGAGCGGGTGGCCATCTATCACTTCTTCACTGTATGATACTGTGTTCATCTCGAGTAGGGTTAGGCACTTGGAAATATTTTGCACCGTGCTTTGCTATCAGCAGCCGTGTTCTTGGGAGCATTTCTTGTTTTCTGGCTCCTGGCGCACGAGCGCCAGACGTTCTCTGGAGTGAACGATGCAGGTAGCTTGCGTTAGGGAGTCTTAGGTGGTCAGGAGGAACATAGGTGTATTTTAATGGGAGATTCGCAGCCGTAGCGATTGGCCAATAGGTTTTCAACAGGTGCAGGAGAAACTAAGATTCCCGTCAAGGTGCGTGTAAGGACGCTTTTCCTTTGAAACCACACTGCGAAGTCGGGCACCATTTATTTGCTCGCTACTTTCTCAACGCAGAAGTAAATACGGTAGAAAAAAAACACTTGATTGCGTGTGAAATGAAGCACTCTGTGCCACTTTGTGTAATCTCTGGCAAATTCCTTAAACCTTCTCTTTTTCCGTAGCATACTCCTGGAAGAGAAACCTGTCTTCAGTTTATCCTCCTAGCTTTGCAGACTTCGGGTAAGGGAAGCACCTGTCAGATGGCAGAGCCTTGCTTTACGGGACAGGATTGGGACCCGGGTGCTCTTCTGTGGGCTCACACCGTGTGTGTCCTGTGGAACGTTTTTGGAGAAGGATGTGTGCTCGCTGTTAGGATAAGTTCACCACACATTTGAGTACCTTTGAGTCCCTTATCCCCGGCCCCGCGGGCACCCCAAGGTGTGCCCTCCAGAGCTGTGTGCCGCGCATCACGCCCCCGGCAGTGCGCTCAGGGGTAGGGGGCTATTCGGTTCCGGAAAATGGCGAGTGCGAGTAATAGGCGTTTATACGTAGCTTCGAGTAACTTGACTTCAAGGACCCAGTAGAGGGGGTGTGTGGTAGTTTGCCAGCATGTGTAGTTTGCAGAGAGCAGGGTGCGCTTTTTTGGTAGGGCTGTTACACCCTACCAAAAACGCATGTATCCTTAAAAGCTTTAAAAAGGCGTCCTTTTTGTGTTAAGGGCAATGTGTGTTTTCCCCCCAAACTTTCAGAAGAAATAGAAAGTTACAAAGAATAGATAACTGTTGTTAACGTTTTGGCCAGTGTACCCCCAGCCTTTTCGGTCGTGGACATTCTGGACGGTTGCAAGTGGAATCGTAAACCACACTAGACTGCCTCTCCCTTCACGACTTTCCCCAAAGACGATCTGTCTCCGCACCTCTGTTGTACACAGGATGGCACCAGTAGTCTTCCGCGTGGTACCCTTGCCCCAGTGTCCGCTCTCCTGTAGTCTGGGCGCTACTCCTGTGGACGGCAGTAATTTAAATGTGTACATCAGAGGCTCGGCACCCTCTGATGACTTTCAATACACAAAATAAAATTGAAACTTTTGGGGCGCCTGGGTGGCGCAGTCGGTTAAGCGTCCCGACTTCAGCCAGGTCACGATCTCGCGGTCCGGGAGTTCGAGCCCCGCGTCGGGCTCTGGGCTGATGGCTCAGAGCCTGGAGCCTGTTTCCCATTCTGTGTCTCCCTCTCTCTCTGCCCCTCCCCCGTTCATGCTCTGTCTCTCTCTATCCCAAAAATAAATAAACGTTGAAAAAAAAAATTTTTTTTTAAAAAATAAAATTGAAACTTTTTACTGTGGCACCTAGACCCTAGAGCAGTAATGTCCAATGGGAGTATAACGGGAGCCACATAAGTAATTTAAAATTTCCTGGTAGCCGTGTTAAAAAAAGAAACAGGTGAGATATAATTTGCTAAACGCAAAATATTAGGATTTCTGTAAGTAATTAGCATAAGAAGTTATCAAGATGTTTTACTTAACTTTTTTTAGACTGGCCTCAAAATCCGATATGTGTTTTCCACGTGACATGCAGCTGGGACTCGTGTCAGGCTCTGTCGGGACAGCGTTGCCCTGGGAGGCCGGCCCTGCCTTGTCCCCGAGCCCCGCACTGCTGTTGTCCTGGTCTGTTTGGGCTTCCTGAGCATGCAGAGCTGCTGGCGTCCAAGTTGTTGGGTTTTCCTGCCTGGCACACTCCACCGTATTTCTGCTTGGATGGCACTCCTTCAGGGATGCGCTCACAGGCCACAGTCCCTGCCCACTGGGTCACTCTGCCGCGCTTCTCCTAGAACCTGTCCTCTGACGTGGTTTGCTTGGTTCTTGTCTTCGACCTGAGGGCAGAAGTTAGAGCCACAGGTAGTGACAGGGTTCTGCCAGGGCACATGCCATTTCCATCCTCCTGTGGTTCCTCACCTGCTGGGTGTGACTTGTTGCTTTATCTTTTTGTCACCGTCACCCTGTGGTGAAGACGCTCTTAAGAGCTGCATCTTTCTTTAGGATTTGATCTGTCTTACAGAGTCAAAGCAAGTGAACATTTTTTGTCTTTTTAGAAATATTGCCAAATCTTACTTTAAAAATTTAACTAGCATTATAATACACAGTTGGCCAAACCAGTATAAAGTTTACCAAAAAATGTGAGACAATACACGTCTTCTCCTCCATATCCTTACCAACACTTGATTTTCTTTCGTGCCTTCCCTTTTCATAAGATTCATGATGTACTTCTTAGATTAATTATGATGATGAATGGAGTGGTGGGTATTGTTTCGTCTAATTTGTCTTTTACTCATTTGGGGTGGTGTTTTATCATTGCGATGCCTTTTTATTCTTTTATAGATTTAGGATAGCAGCGTTTTGTCACACGCTGAACATATTTTCCCTGGTTCTTCATTTCCCTTCTATTTGCTTACGGTGCTTTGTTTTTTTTTTAAACTTGAGTTTTTACCTTTTAAGAAATTTTATGGCTTCTCCTTTACTTTTGTACTTAATGGATTCTCTTGTCCAGATAACTGTTTTCTTCTAGTTCTTTTGTGGTTTCATTTTCACATCTACCTCTCTCTATTCACCCGGGGCTTGTTTTGACGTAATATGTGAAGTGAAATAACCTCCCTCATTTTTCCTCGATAATTAGTTGTTTTAGCCCCATTAACAAAAATCTTTTTCTTGTTGCCTTGAAATAAAGCTTTTATCGTATACTGAAAACATATATATATACTTGGTTCTTTATAGCTTCTGTTCAATATGAAGGACTTGATACTGGCACGCATTGTTTTAGTAATTGAGCATAATAATGTATTTTTATTTTGTTGCTGTTAAGTCTCCCTCCCTTTTCCTCCCCCAGTTTTTGGCTGTTGCTTTGTCCTTGGGATTTTTAGTTGATTCCTCAGGGTCTTCACTTTTTTGGGGGGGGGTTGAATTTTTACGTTAAAAACGTAAAATCTATTTCTACGCTTAATGGTTTGTGTTGTGTAATAATAAAAAAATTTAATGCTGTTAAATTCTCCTTTGAGAAGGGCTTTAGCTGTGATCCTTACATCCTGACACGTGACAGACAGAAATATTTACTTACCAATCTTCCTGGCAGGTGCTCCGTGCTGGGGGTGGGGTGGGGTGAGGTGGGGGGGTGCGTGGTACTGAGGCTGCCGCCGTGAACTGTCCGGGGCCTCTGCTTTCAG